ATCATCTTTGAGTCTATTTCTATTAAAACAAATTTTGTCTCTCTTGAGATAGTTTTTAATGAAAAACCAACCTTTTAGATTGTTTCCTTTGAAACAAATTTCGTCTCACTTAAGATGTAATCCATCTTTGAGTCTATTTCTTTTGAAACAAAATTTTATTTCTTAAAGACAATTTCCTTTGAGAAAAAATCTTTGAGTTTGTTTCCTTTGAAACAAAAGTTTGTCTCTCGAGACAATTTCTTTTGAAAATACTCACATTTGAGATCGTTTCTATTAAAACAAATTTTGTCTCCCTTGAGACAGTTTCTCTAGAAATACAAAATCTTTGAGTTTGTTTCTCTTGAAATAAAACAATCTTTGAGTCGTTTCCTTTGAAACAAATTTTGTTTCTTGAAACATTTTCTCTTAAAACAAGATCATCTTTGAGTTTGTTTCTCTGGAAACAAGGTTTTATCCCTTAAAACAGTTTCTTTTGAGAAAAATCTTTGAGTTTGTTTCTTTGGAAACAAAATTTACCATCTTTGAGTATGTTTTCCTTGAAATAAAACAAACATCATTGAGATCGTTTCCCTTGAAACAAATTTTGTCTCTTTCGAGACAGTTGCTTTTGAAACAAATCTTTGAGTTTGTTTTTCTTGAAACAAATCTTTGAGTCGGTTTCCCTTGAAACCATAATCACTAAAGATGGCCAGTTGTCCTCATCACGTAGGAACCGTGTCATCCCCCGACCAGATCTCCTCATCGCGTAGGAACCGTGTCACCCTTAGATAACCAGTTATCCTCATCGCGTAGGAATCGAGTTATACCACTCCTAAAGATGACCAAGAACTCTTCATCACGTATGAGCAGTGTCATCTCCACCAAACCTCCTCATCACGTAGGAGCCATGTCACCCAAAGATAACCAGTTGTCCTCATCGCGTAGGAACCGAGTTATCACCCTTACTAAAGATGTCTAGAACTCTTCATCACGTATGAGCCGTGTCATCCCCCGACTAGATCTCCTCATCATGTAGGAACCGTGTCACCCTTAGACAACCAGAACTCTTCATCACATATGGCCGTGTCGTCCCCAACAACCAACATTATCCAATTTCTAAGCTTAAAAAGGAGAGAACCAGACAAAAACGTGTTGTCTTGTCGTCTTTGCCCTATTCTTGTTAACATAAGAATGTGCAAAGAGGGGCAGCTGTAGACACCCATTTTTGTCCGGGTCTTTTCTATTTAATTTTATTATTATTATTATTATTATTTTACAATTTACAATATTTTGCATGTTTAATTTTGTAGCCTAAATACGAGGCCCAATCCCAAAAACATCACTCAGACCCTGCCCAGAAGCCAAGCCCAGTACCATGCTCAACTGACCCAAACAGCAGACCCGATTGGAGATTCGACCTGACTCGAAACCTTAAAACGCATTAAGGTTTCTGGTAGGTTCTATGCACCGCTTTGGATTCCAACCATTGGATCAGACTCGATCCAACGGTCCAAGATGACCCAATTTAGGGTTTCCTCTCACTAGCTCAATAGTCACGCCACCTTTTCAACTTCTCAGTCGTCGAGCCGTTCAAGCCGAGATGTCCCACTGCCGTCGCCGTCCTTCCCTTCACCAAAAGTGACCAGTTTCTATCAAGAATCCATCCACAATGATAGAAATCAAATATCACACCAAGTCAGAACAAATCTAAACAAATATTATCCTAGAAGCTAGGATATTATTACCCTACCCGAAGAGTTCAATCAACCATCACCAATCAGAGGAGAAGCATAAAAAAAAGAAGACAGAGGAGATAAGGGGAGGGGGGTAGAGGAGAGCATTGGGGGGTTTTGGAGAAAAGAGAGAGAAACCGAGATGGGAGTTTCTAGAACAAAAAGAAAAAAAAGGAGAGAGCTTCAGGTAGGGGGCCACGAACCAGAAAAAAAAATGAAAGAGGAGAAAAAAAATCGAGAGATTTGGGGGAAATAAAAAACAAAAAAAGAAAGCAAATAGAGAGAGAAATACAGAGAGTGGAGAGGAACCGAAGGGTTCTTCGTAGATTCACAGTGTTTGAGCCCTTTTTTGGGGAAACTAACCCCGGATTCATGACCAGGGCGTTGAGGCGCTTCAGTTGGTACCCTTCTTTATCCGCTCCAGCGACGATGGCCGATCAATGGTGGCCGGTACGGTGGAACCCCACCAGAATCTAGGCTTTGGTTGAAGCTGGAGAGAATTTTATCTCTCTTTCTTTTACTCTCTCTTCTCTCTCGTGGGAGATGGAAGCAAATGGTCGGTTTGGGGGTTAAAAGGGCCATTTATACCTTGAACGAAACGGTGCCATTTCAACAGGGGCCTTCTGCATATTTTCAGCGTGTGGGGTAACTACACTTTAGGTCCCTATCTCTTTGTAATATCATTCTTGAGCCATCTAATGAAGTTTCACTTTATTTGATTTTGAGCACTCATATTTCATTATTTACTTTATAGTCTTGCTATTATATGTCATTTTATTTTTTTATTAAGTTTGGACTTTGGGCATTGTATTTTTAATAGTTTCATATTAGTCACCGATTTAATGTATGGTGTTCTTTATGTTGTTTGAATTTGGCCACTATAGTTGTAAATCTATTATATTAGTCATTGTTTTAGCATTTCGGTTTAAATACTTTTTGATCCTCCATGTTTCTGTAATATCTTATTTTAGTCCCTAAATATAATTTATGCCTACTTGAATTTGAGATTTGAATTATTTTGTTTTTTATTTTGGTCACCATACGTTTGTCATTTGTTTTTGGGATTGTTGATTTGTGTTGGCTAGTTCTTAGTTTGATGCATTTCAGTCTTGTTATGTTATATTAATATATTTGGTTTAATATTTGATTAGGGTTATTGATCTATGATTTATTTCGTTTAGGTCCTTGTTTTTATTAATTAAATTATTAATGTTTATAATCTGGTTTTTAAACTTGTTTAACTTTTGCTTTAGTCCAATAAATATTTTGTAAGATAAATGTTTTGTTTGTTCTATAGGTCTTATATTTTAATATGAGTTCATTATGTTCATTAAGTGGTTTCAAGTTAAATTTCGTGGGTACTATATGTTTAGGTTTCTTTGTTTATCCTTGTATGGCTTAATCTTTATTTATTTGGTTCATTTCGGTCTTATTATTTTTATTCAAATGCTTTATTAATATACTGTATTTATTTGTACCATGTGTAATTAAATATACTTAATTTTGTTTGATGTAAATATTTATTACGCATATTTTTATTGATATTTATTTCCATTATGTTTCTTTATCTAGTATATGTTATTCGAATATTTCAATAACGCAAATTTGTAGAACGGGCGTGGAAAATATCACTTGATCGAATATTTCAATAAATCTATTTTCTTTTACTAATTAATTTGTTTTAATAATGCAATATGTGCTATTTTTAATTCACTGTTTATTTCCTTTTATTTGAAAGCAAATGTCAATTTCATTTATATTCGATTCACATATTTATCAATGAGGGAATATTCTTTACTAATGAGAAATAAACGAGTTAGCTTTCCCGATGGAGGATTGTTAATCTCAAGATTTCTTTTCAAGTTAAAGAATTTTTCCTAATAATATAAGTCATCCGAAACAAATTAATTATATTTCAATAAATGGATCTTACTTTAAGTATCTATTCGATTTATAATTTCCATCATTACGACAATGTGTAAACGCACAGTACCAATTTTGGGCGTTGTGGGGTGTTAATTCTTCCCCACACGTAACCGACTCCCGAACCCATTTTAAACAAATCTTTGGTAAACGCAGACCACTTTTGTCTTTAAAAACGATTTTTTTTAAATTATTTTAAAAGATTTTTTAGGTATTCGATTTACCTAAACCAAAGGTCAATGGTGACTCTATCCAATTTAATTCAAATTAATTTCAAATCACCTAATTTTTTCAATTAAAGTCATAATCATTTTTTAAAATAATATTTAATTGTTTTACCTAAAAATGATTATGGCACAGTTTTACAATTTGTTGTCAAAAGACGGAATGGATCTGATGAACTAAGTTATAAGAAGAAAAAATCTGTTAAGTGTACACGAAATTGTAGTTATACTTTCAGAAATGATTTGTCTTTCCCTCAGCTTGTGTCTATGATAAGGTTTCAGCAGTATAAGCAGTATGGTGTTTTTCTTCGTTTTTTCGGTAGAAATGAGATCTCTGGTCACAAACTACCATTGTTTACAACAGTATCGTTGAATTACTTCCCATCATCATTAAACAGAGTCTAAAATAACAAATATGTTCACATTGGCTTGTATGGAGGGATTCATTTTGCATTATTGAACTTGTATGTGCCATTGATAAATACCTGGTTATATTATCATCAGCAATTAGGGTTGCACAGAAGTCAGATTTCAATCCGATCCGGTTTTTTCCCATAGAAAAAAAACCGGTTTATAAAATAACCGATTCGGTTTCTAACCGATTTGGAGGGCCGAATATCCTAACCGGTATAACCGGTTTCGATTTTAAAAAAACCAGTTTTTTTAAAAAACCGATTATAAAAAAACCGATTTTAATATTATTAAAATTACCGGTCTAGGTTTCTTTTAAAAACCGAATATTAACGGCTAATTTTTTAAACCCATACCGGTTTTTTTATCTGATAAAAACTGGTTTTTTAACCGATTTTTTTCAAACCGATTTTTTATCCGGTAAAAAAACCGGTCTAGGTTTTTTTTCCAAACCGGTTAAAATAACCGGTTTAAAAAAATCCGATCCGGTTAAAAAAACCGGTTTTTCCCAAATCCGGTTTCGGATATTTTTTTCGCAAAATCGGATATTCGGATTTTATATACACCCCTACCAGCGATACAAAATTAAAAGCACGCGGAGAGCAATAATTCAAACACCAGGATAAAACCCTTTCGAAGTCTCTCACAGGGATCTCGTAAAGGAATTAAATTATTTGTATCTTTTAGCTTAAATACCGCAGGCATGTGAAAGAAAAACTACAAGAGATCGGATGCTAACAAAATTCCATTAAAATAACAAGGGAATAAAAATGCCATATAAATAGCATAAATTTCTGCCGAGAAGTGAAATAAAAGTAAAACATAGAAGAAAACTATGCCAAGCCTGTGCAAGACATGTTGGAGGCCACTCTATTCCAGCTTTATCCGATCCATATCAGTTACCACTCCTTCAAGCTGCAGTAGAAAGTTGAAATACACAAATGAATCTCAATTAGTGCACATGCAAGCATTATATATATATATATTCAAGCACTGCGGTGGAAATTTTTTTCCACAAGCAGGGTTTTAACGTTGCCATGCGTCCAATCTAAGTTCAGGTTAGCTTTCAGATTTAGAGTTCCAGCTCGTGGGAAAAAGTTCCACCGCCAGTGCATGAAATAATAACCCATACATATTTATTAATAATTATGATATATATAGCATACCTTAACAATCTGTCGCAGGAAGTAATCACCATATCTTTTAACTGGCTTGGATTCGACAACATGAATCATATCCTGCATCAAAACAAATCAAAACATTACCTGTTATACTGAAGAATAGTGAATTTCTTTCTAACCTCCAAAGACCAAATAAAAGACTAACATAATATTATCCAAAACCATAGATTAGCTAGCTTCATATTAATCTATATATTGTTTTACAAGAGCATGTGGATAAAAAATCGCCAGCACGCTAAAAATTTAACCTACATCATCAATGTAGAAGTCCAAATCAGCATTAGAGGTGATCTTTCCATCAGAATCAACAGCATGAGTTTTGTGCTTGTACGTAAACAAGATACTCCTATAAGACATGACGCAAGGTCAGCATACAATAAATGAAGCAAATATTGAAATAAAAACACGGGAGAAGAATATAAAAAGAATTGTCAACCTCAGAGTGGGCTCATCCACTTCCATGTAATTTGCAAGCTTCCCAAGAGATATAGTTGAATACACTTTGAGAAATGTCCTGACACTTGATAATAACTGTTGCTGTTTCACTTCATATAGAAACAGCTTCAACTGAAGTCTGTAGGCATCCTGCGTGTAAATAAATGGAAGTAGGTAAAACACACAAAATATATAATAAAAGAAATACAGGCCAAGGTAAGAAGACCAAACTTAACAACATGCCAAATGGCCTTTTTTACTTCCTTTCCCCAACGATAAATAAGTCAAGGAAGATATTGCATTGTCTAGGAGACATAGGGACAGAGATCCATCAAATGAAGGTGCATAAATTGCTGGACCAGAGACTGATTGTGGAAAAATAACCATCTACTAACACATAATAAATCAACATTAATTAGGCCTAAGCTATACATCCACATTACTGTGAATCTAAAACATGAAATTGCAGATACATTCTTTTCATTACTTAGGGTGCAAAACCTCAGTTCAAAGTATTAATTTTTTGTTTAGAAGGCAACTATTAACAATAAAAGAAATATGAAAAAGCCTCACTACGGCAAGTTTATATAATCATGTATGTTGGATAGCTAAAGGATTTCGGATGTAAATAATGAAAGGAACACGCACAAATGATTTCATTAATGTACTTCCACCAAAATCATTCTTAAAATTGTCTAGAAAAGATAAAACTGTGACCTGGTTGTAATTTACAAGTGGCTCCTCAAAGCTAGGAGCTGAAGGTGTAATGAACTTAGGACATGCATATGAGAAGAGCTCATCATAGATGGCAAAAGCTTCGTCATCATATCTTTGCATCCTAGCCATCTTTTCACCATACTTCTCTCGCAATTGAGAGTTCACAGTCTCCTCAACAAGTTTTGCTTGGGGACACAGTGAAAGACAAATTGCCAGCAAGGCATACATCTGTTCATTCTTTTTCAGTATTTGTTCATACTGTGGAGATTTCTGATGATATTGCTTTGTCTTGTAAATATACAAGAGAATCTTATTGAATTCACGAATAGCCTCCACATACCTATAATTAAGATTATATATATTGTTATCAAGCTAAGTTAAAAAAGAACTACAATTGAATAAAGCTTTTATAAAGGAAGAAAACATTTACGCCATTAACAAGTAAAACAAAAGCATACCTCCGCATCATAAGATTGGCAAAACCATAGTGATAAATGGTAGCAATATGACTTCCTACAACACTGGTGTAAACACCTTGTTGACTAATGTCAATAGGAAGCAGGCACTTCAGTCCCGTTTGGTAATCACCCAGAAGACAATGAACTCGTAACAAACCCACCATACTAAAGTATCCCAACACTTTCAAGACGTTGCTTCCACCACTGTAATCATACCCATCATTAGCAGTAAATTGTTCACCACCCTCCTTCTCCTGCTCCAATATCTGAATAATATTTGACTTCTCCACAAATGCTTGCAAGTAATTGAGCACCCCATACACATTCCATGCCTACAAGGGGAAAATAACTTAAAATATCCACATAGATAACAAATAATAATAGCAATAACTACTATAAAAACTACGCTTTCATATCTACTATGCTCGTGGAAAATTGAACTACCTGGTCAAATTGGCGGAGAAGAGCAATTTCTTGCTCAGTTTTGTTCTTCATTTTAGCCCTGTATTGGCAGAAACTTTGGAATTGGTATACAAATTCATCCACCATGTCCCATAGCCATTGATTTGGTAACTGCATGTTAACTACCCTATGCAATACCACCTAAACGAAAACCAAAGCACAAATAAATCAATCCACGACACAACATCATAGATACTGACGCAAATTAAAAGTAATTACCTGAAAGAGGCTACAATAATTATCCCAAGAATCAATCCTCTGCTTAAGAGTGGGGGATAGGCGAGCATAGAGGTGGCGAAACCACATCTCACGGTAAAGGAGGCAAAATACTTGGTCGTTATCTACGTAATGGGCAACGGCATCGACGGAGGGCCAAGGAGTGTCTTTAAAGAGACGATCGGAGAGCGTTTGGAACGAGATATCGTACATCTGGTGAATTTCGTACACATTTTTCTCACGAATGTGACGGTAAAGGTGGACGACGAACGACTTAACGGAGTCGGGTACAAAGTTCGGGTCGTAGCCAAGGTCTTGACGGTTCACATCGTCGTAGGTGCCTGGAGCCTCCTCGTAATCGTAGTTGGCTGCCATCGTTGCAGAAGATAGTATCTGAGGGCCTCGGAAATAGATTTGGGAAGAGAGTATGGATTGTCGACTGTGAACGACAGTAAAAAGAAGAAAGAGATTAGGGTTTAATGAAGAAAGAATGTTTTGGGATTTTGGGCTTTCAATTTTGCTTTATAGAGTGGCCCAATCTTTCTCGATTTAAAAGAAGCTTTTCTACTCTATATGTATCAGAAATATTTAATTTATTTTTAATAAAATCTTTCTCGAATTAAAAGAACCTTATTGTTGAATGTTTTACCATGTTGAAGTTAAAAATCTTTTCAGAATTCATATCTTAGATCAGTAGTGTACTTCTCTCTATCAGGACTCACAAATCTTGCTTATCCAAATTTAGGTCGCTCAGATATTGAAATTCATTTAATAATAGTTTATTTGAAGCTTTTGATGATATGTTTTCAGTAGTTTGAGTTTATTAAAAATATTTATTCACAAATCTACCCCAATTTGTACTTTGAATTTTAATTAGGTCATTTAACTGTTAACTTCGACCGTTAATAGTTTAATGGACTGTTTCGTTAATTGAAGATGTCGTAACCGTCTTTCGGTTGGGCCCCGGAATTGGGCTTCGACTTGGATGAATTGAGTTAGAGTCGCCACCGACCACTTTAAAACGAATTTAGGTGGGTCGGACACCATCTTACCTGATCTGCGTTGTACCAGAGACGTGTCGGGTTCGGGAGTCGGTTACGATCAAGGAAGGATTAGCACCCTTGAATAGCCCTTTCGGTACCAATTAATTTGCCGGTTGTCTTGATTGCGAAGAATTAAAAATTTAAATTAAAATTTAAATTACTCGATTCGAATTGCTTACCTTTGATCGGTTGAAAATTTATCCACAAAGTCAAAAATGTTAGTAAAAAATAAATAAAAATAAAAATAATAAATAAATGTTAATAAATAAAAAAAACAAATGGAAACGAAAAAAAGTTCAAATATATATATATATATATATATAAAAATAAAAATAAAAAGTCAAAGAAAGAGAATAAATAAATAAAGATTAAAGAGAACAAAAAAAATGAGTTTAAAAAAAGTAAGAGCAAAAGTAGAATAAATGAAAACAAAGGATAAATGAAAATAAAAAGGATCAAATCGAATGAGCTTGAAACCTATGGACTGAAATGAATTTTAAAAGTGAACTGCAATATAAAAAAAATAAACAAAATTAGGGGGGTTAATTCACAAAATATAAAAAATGTAAAAGGTGACCAATTTGAATGAATTGAGAATCCAGAGACGAAATTACAAGTGATGACCAGATTGTAATGCGATTTAAACTACCAGGGACCGCGGGGAGAATTAAAAAATCTCCTAATTGCACATAGACCCCTGATATATATATATACGAAAACGCTCTTCTCCCCTTCATATCTCCCATTTCTGATTTTCCTCTCTCTCTCCTCAACGAGAGAACAATCTGTTCTCTCGCTACATCCTCTCAATTCTCTGAACCAAGCCCCATATCACGGCCATGCACTCCGCCGTTCGCCGCCGCTCCGGCCACCGACTCCGGTGGCCAGAAAAAAATCTAAATAACCTCAAAACGCTCCCCTCGTCTCCGTAGAACCAAAACCGTAGCCCAAATCACCAAGACCCCTATAGATCGGCGTAGATCTAGGAAAATAACCTCGACTTTTTACCTTCTCCGACGACCGTTCGCTTTTCCGATGGTTTCTTCGGTTGATGCTTCAGTTTTTATGCTTCTTGTGTGTGTGGCTTTTGTTTTGGTACTGTTGATAGCTGTTGTGGCTCTAGATGATGTGTATTGTGGTGTGGGTATTTTTTTTGCTGTTGTCTCTGTCGATTTGGGTACCGTTGTGTAGTGTGATGGTTGTAGTTCTTCGTGTACTCGGTTGTGGTCTGTTGTTTCTCGATGTACTATCCTCGATACTTGATGGGTTCCCCCTGACACCGTTCTCCTCTGGTATTTATATAGCCCGTTGGGAGGCTGTTTCCGGTGATTTTTGGGACGATCCCGGATATTTCGGGGTTATGGGTTCGTGGTTGACCGGCTATCCTGGGATGGGTCAGTCCCGGGATCCCGGACGGCCGTTCTGGTATTGGCTGTTGGCCACGCGTGTCCCCTTGACTCCCCCATGCGACGCATTGACTGGCATCATTTCAGGGTTTTCTAAACCCTAAACCTGGACGGGCTGGGTCAGGCTCAAATCTGACTGAACCAGACTAGTGGATCCTTTGCTGGATTGATTATTGGACATGAACAATAAAAATAAAATTGATAAAAATAATAATAATACTAAAATAAAAAATGACAATTATAATAATAAAAAATATTTTTCAAAAACCTATATAATATATATTTTCAAAAATATTTTAAAATTATATATTATATATATTTTTTAAAAATATTTTCAAACTTATAGTTTCAAAAATGTTTTGAAATTATATGTTATATGTTTTCAAAAATGACTTCAAAAACTATATAATATATATGTTTTCAAAAATGTTTTCAAAAACTATATATTATATATTTTCAAAATGTTTTTTTTAAAAAAAAAACATATATTATATAGTTTTCAAAATGATTTCAAACTATATAATATATATATATATAAATAATAAAAAAGATGGACGAAAATTAGTGTCTACAGCTGCCCCTCTTTGTCATTTTTCGAGTAACGAAAAATAGGACAAAGTTAAAAAGACAAAAATTTTCGTTCGGTGGAGAAGAATAACTCCCTGTTGAATTAAGATGTGGATGGCTCCTCCGTCACGAAGTCGAGTCCACCTTGAAATTATATGGGATTGAATCCGTAGTTCGGAATTGGAATGTGAACGTGGCTTCTCGCTGCCGAATTGTAGTCAACTTCGGTCTTCTTTTCAGTTTAAAGACATTGGTTAAAATTCGACTGGAAAGTAGTTCCTTGACTCTACCATGTGTTTGATAGGCCCTCGAGCTGAATGAAACCGAACTCGAAAGGTCTTCGTTGACATATAGCTTTTCTCGACTTAAGCTATGATGCCGAAAAAACAGTTTCCTGTCACTAAGGCATGGTTAACCAGATCTTCTTCTCGACTTGAAAACCTTGATTACAGCCGGACAGTAGTGTGATTGAGGTATCATCGAGCTGAATAGAGTCGAACTCGATAATTTTATTGACAAATAGTCCTTCTTGACTTAAGTTGTGCTACAAATGATATGCCTTGGAGCTGAGCGTAGTCAAACTCGAAGGTTTTTAGCATATAGCCCTTCTCGACTTAAGCTATGCTGCAAATGATGTGCCTTGGAGTTGAGCGTAGTCGAACTCAAAGGTCTTTTGTTGGCAGACAACCCTTCTAGACTTAAGTTGTGCTGCAAATGACATGCCTTGGAGCTGAGCGTAGTCGAACTCGAAGGTCTTTGGTTGGCAGATAACCCTTCTCGACTTAAGTTATGCTGCAAATGATGTGCCCTCGAAGCTGAGTGTAATCGAACTCGGGGGTCTTTGGCAGATAGCCCTTCTTGACTTAAGCTATTCTGCAAATGATGTACCTTGGAGCTGAGCGTAGTCGAACTCAAAGGTCTTTGCTAACAGATAACCCTTCTAGCCTTGAGTTATTCTGTAAATGTTATGCCCTTGAAGCTGAGTGTAATCGAACTTAAGGGTCTTTGGCAGATAGCTCTTCTCGACTTAAGCTATACTGCAAATGATGTGCCGTTGAGCTGAGCGTAGTCGAACTCGAAGGTCTTTTGGTCATAGATAACCCTTCTAGCCTTGAGTTATGCTGTAAATGTTATGCCCTTGAAGCTGAATGTAATCGAACTTAAGGGTCTTTGGCAGATAGCTCTTCTCGACTTAAGCTATACTGCAAATGATGTGCCTTGGAGCTGAGCGTAGTCGAACTCGAAGGTCTTGGTGGGCAGATAGCCCTTCTGGCCTTGAGCTAAGCTGCAAATAGTTTGTTTAAAAATGGCTTCCCTTTACGGGTCGAAAACGGTCATGATTCTTCAGGTGGTCTGGGAAAACCTACTGATAAATTCTGACAGCCGGATATCTTCCGTCGTGGAATTGAAATCTGGCTTGAAAGTGTTAACTGAAAACATGTTGCTCATTGTTGAGTTGAGCTGAACTGAATTTGATCTGAATTGGTTCTCGAACCCATCTGAAATTGGTTCTGAGATCTGTAGTTATGCAAAGTCGGTTGAGGTGTAGCTTCTTGCTGCTGAGTTACACCAACGTTCTTTAAAGGTGCTTGCAAGTCGAGTAACCTTCATCCTGAAGTCGAAGCTTGACTCTGAAAGCTGCAAAATTATGTATGCTAAAATGATGAATGTGATGCACCTAAGTATGTCTAAGATGCATGCAACATGAATAAATTATGTGTTATTTCTTGGATGGAGTCTCGTGCTTTGCCTGCCAATCTGGTCCATGGAATCGATCGTGCCCCATTTGCTTCTCGAGCTTGGGCTTTACAGACATTTCATATCTGAGATTGTTCTGTTTGAAAACGTTTTTCTCCTTTTTCTTGTTTCAGGAGAGAGAAATGATAAAAATGTTGTAAAGAATTGTTCGCAATTGAATCAAATTGCAAATGTGAGTTCAAAAAATATCAAAGGAATCAAGAGCTCTTTTAATGCTTTCAGAGTTACAAATCTTTGACAAATGTTCAAAGGGACGAGTCGGCTTTAGGTTGGCCTCCTTTCTAAAAAAAATGTCATTTTTTAAATATCGCAACATGCTTTGGCACTTTAATTGGGTGCGGACAAAATGACGCAGCTAGCATGATCAATTACTAGACCTTTTATCTCAGTCCTCTGAAATCTTTCATTTGTTCAAGCTTTGTAGGCTCTTCCAACAAAGGCAGTGCAAAAAATATCGGTCTAAAAATGAAATTCTAGAGTGCTTGTGTGTAGTCAACTATAACAGGTGTTCCTTAACTCCCTTAGTCCAACATTACCGAAAATTTCTTTTTTAGATAAATTTCATTTACTTGTCATTATCTGGCTAGCTGAATCCATAAAGCCGGGGCATTTAACCAATTGCTTTAGAGGGACAGCTTAATATTATAATCACTCTTATCAAGTTAACTGAAGGGTTCAT